ATTATGGCTCATTACACATTTAGTCCTACATATACAAATCTAAAAGTAAGTCTTGTGGAAGTGAGTGGGATTTTTCAAAAGGTATATATAGAAGACGTCCTTTAACATCTCTCCCCCCACCACCCAAAAATATTGATATACGTTTGGAGTAAGAGTTTCCTGACATCAAAGCAGTTCCCATTACTGATAACTAAGAATATTTTTAGTTGATCCAGATTCATATGTAACCTTTTGATTTTTCTAGAGAGAAACCACAGAGGAAGAACAGCTTGCCATTGATATATAGGAACCAGGTGGGATCATCTAGCAGTAGAGATTTCAACAGAGGCTTCATGAGTCCCTGGCAAAGAACTGTGGATGGTACAACGGCAGAAAACATGCGAGAACCTCTTGAGAAGATGAAGCGTCATCGGGACAGACATGAACTAAATAAACAATGGCTTAAAGCCTGTCTGCAGAAACTTAAAACTAAAACCACAAAAGAATCCAGGCAAAATGTATTGCAGTGGCTGCAAAAATGTCGTAAAAGCCTTAATGAAAAATCCTACCAACCAGGATTTAGTGTCTCCCTGAGAACATGGCTTGTAAATTCCTGGATCACGTTTGAGAAGGAACATCCTGAAGAATTCATGGGGGATGTGGCTAATTGGCTGGAGATATCCCTAAAACATATGGAACTGAGAGGGCCAAAAACACGTGCTTTGACACCAGCGGAATGGCTTGAAGCATCTGTTCAAGCCATTCAAAATCTATTGAGTTCTGAAGCAAAGTCGCAAAGTACCCTAAGATGGTTTGTAAAGTTATTAAAAAAATCAACATTCTGAAGGATGCGTGGAGAATATAATGGATTCCAGGATCTTTAGTAAGCCTCTCACTTCAGCAATCCTTCAAAAACTTGCAAGAGCTTCAGCAATCCTGTGGCATCTAAACTATGTGAAAAAGTGGCTTGAAATAGCCATAAATCACCTCCATGAGGAAGAGCCAGAAACATCCCATCTAAATTTGGAGGAGGGATTAGAAGCATCTAG